TACTGTGTTTTCATTCCATTCCCTTCATCGTGAAGTACTGTGACAAATTACAGTATCAATATACAATTGATCCATATTACAGTTTTATGAAATATTACACTCTAACAATACAATTAATCAAAGATGATATCAGTAACAAACAGTATAAGACAATCACCTGTGTGTATATACTATTATGCTAATTATCCAAGGCTCAAAGAAACCGTAATAACAGAGCAAGTGAGGCCAGAGTACCTCGTGCACTTGCTAGCAACTTTCGGAGTCACGCAAAGAAGTAACACTGAAGGAATCGAGGAGACAAGAAAATGAGTTCAAAAGGTCAAAGAGAGAAAGTGAAAGCAGTACACAGAGTTACATCAGCTTGAGAAAAGTAGTAGATAATAATAAAATAATAATAAGTAATAAGATGTAATAAAGAGCCAATATACATGGTAGGTTAAACGGATTGGTAGAAAGAGGAAGACAGGAATAAAGAATAACAGGAGAACCATAACAAGGCAAAGAGGACGACATGGAATAGAAAGGACATTGACTATAGAAACGACTATAGAAACGACCGCTTTGAGGAACTTCAGAGAAGGCCAATCTGGGAAGCAGTTCATAAAACGCCAGTACGAGATGAGGCAACAAAGGACCTTGTTTTGGATTAATACAATGAGAGTTATAGACAGCATATTGTGTGAGACATATTGGGAATGGAGAGCGATTATTTTGGCCCTGAATTCACATCGGCGCTTTATTTTGATTACGGCACTTTTTTTGTTTTAATTACGGTGCTCCCAACATTCTTCGGCCGGATGACGGATCTCTCCCGCTTCATTTTGTGTTCCCCTGAGTCTTTTGTTAAGTTTTTATCTCTCTCTCTCTCTCTCTCTCTCTCTCTCTCTCTCTCTCTCTCTCTCTCTCTCTCTCTCTCTCTCTCTCTCTCTCTCTCTCTCTCTCTCTCTCTCTCTCTGTCTCTCTCTCTCTTCTCTTTCTCTTCTCTCTCTCTCTCTTTCTCTCTCTCTCTCTCTCTCTCTCTCTTTCTCTTCTCTTTCTCTCTCTCTTTCTCTTCTCTTTCTCTTTCTCTTTCTCTTTCTCTTTCTCTCTTCTCTGTCTCTTTCTCTTTCTCTTTCTTTTCTCTTTCTTCTTCTTCTTCTCTGTCTCTTTCTCTTTCTCTTTCTCTTTCTCTTTCTCTTTCTCTTTCTCTTTCTCTTTCTCTTTCTCCTTCTCTTTCTCTCTCTCTCTCTCTCTCTATCTCTCTCTCTCTCTCTCTCTCTCTCTCCCTCTCTCTCTCTCTCTCTCTCTCTCTCTCTCTCTCTCTCTCTTTCTCTTTCTCTTTCTCTTTCTCTTTCTCTTTCTCTTTCTCTTCTCTTTCTCTTTCTCTCTCTCTCTTCTCTTTCTCTTTCTCTTTCTCTCTCTCTTCCTCTTTCTCTTTCTCTTTCTCTCTCTCTCTTCTCTCTCTCTCTCTCTCTCTCTCTCTCTCTCTCTCTCTCTCTCTCTCTCTCTCTCTCTCTCTCTCTCTCTCTCTCTCTCTCTCTCTCTCTCTCTCTCTCTCTCTCTCTTTCTCTTCTCCTTCTCTTTCTCTCTCTCTTTCTCTCCCTCTCTCTCTCTTTATCTCTTTCTCTATCTCTCTCTTTCTCTTTCTCCTTCTCTTTCTCTCTCTCTTTCTCTCCCTCTCTCTCTATCTCTTTCTCTATCTCTCTCTCTCTCTCCTACCTCCTTTTCCCTCTCCCCTTCCACCTGCCCTCACCTCTCTCCCCCCACCCCCCCTTTCCTTCACCTGTGTGTCCTGTTTCCATCACTCCAACATCAGCGTCTGCTCATGCCATTGCCCCCCCACCCCCCCCCCCACCCCCCCCCCCCACCGTCGTCACTAACCACCGCCATCGACATTCACGCGACGCAGCCATCATTATTCTTAAACAATTAATGATCATCTCTAATTGACCACAATCACTCCCAGTCATTAATTCAAATTCGCGGATTCTCCCTTGGACACTACGTACATTCGTTCGTTCAGCAGATAAGTGATAACGAAAACATTCATTTCCACTCCGCTCATGAACCTTGGAGGTCGAGGGGCCACTCCTCCTCCCACCACTGCATTGGCATCGATAAAAGAAAAAGAAAAAAAAAAGTTTTCTCTATATCCATCAACCACGACTGATTTCAAGTCTAAAGTACTAAAGATCTCAACCATTAGCTTTCAAAATCCGTGCGTGTCCGGCTACAAATAAGACGAGGGGAGGCGGGGTAGGGAAATGGGTAAGGGGGGGAGGAAGAGGCATAGGGGAGAGGGGAGGAAGAGGCATAGGGGAGAGGGGAGGAAGGGGCGTAGGGGAGAGGGGAGGAAGAGGCATAGGGTAGCAGGGGAGGAAGAGGCATAGGGGAGAGGGGAGGAAGGGGCATAGGGTAGGAGGGGAGGAAGAGGCATAGGGGAGAGGGGAGGAAGAGGCATAGGGGAGAGGGGAGGAAGGGGCATAGGGGAGAGGGGAGGAAGGGGCATAGGGGAGAGGGGAGGAAGAGGCATAGGGGAGAGGGGAGGAAGGGGCGTAGGGGAGAGGGGAGGAAGAGGCATAGGGTAGCAGGGGAGGAAGAGGCATAGGGGAGAGGGGAGGAAGGGGCATAGGGTAGGAGGGGAGGAAGAGGCATAGGGGAGAGGGGAGGAAGAGGCATAGGGGAGAGGGGAGGAAGGGGCATAGGGTAGGAGGGGAGGAAGGGGCATAGGGGAGAGGGGAGGAAGAGGCATAGGGGAGAGGGGAGGAAGAGGCATAGGGGAGAGGGGAGGAAGGGGCATAGGGTAGGAGGGGAGGAAGAGGCATAGGGGAGAGGGGAGGAAGAGGCATAGGGGAGAGGGGAGGAAGGGGCATTGGGTAGGAGGGGAGGAAGGGGCATAGGGGAGAGGGGAGGAAGAGGCATAGGGGAGAGGGGAGGAAGAGGGCATAGGGGAGAGGGGAGGAAGGGACATAGGGTAGGAGGGGAGGAAGAGGCATAGGGGAGAGGGGAGGAAGAGGCATAGGGGAGAGAGGAGGAAGGGCATAGGGGAGAGAGGAGGAAGGGGCATAGGGTAGAGGGGAGGAAGGGGCATAGGGTAGGAGGGGAGGAAGAGGCATAGGGGAGAGGGGAGGAAGAGGCATAGGGGAGAGGGGAGGAAGAGGCATAGGGTAGGAGGGGAGAGGAGATACGGAGGGGGGAGGAAGGGAAGGGGAACGGGGAGGAGGGTCCCAGAGAAGAGGCGAAGGGGGAGGAGAAGAAAGAATAAAAAAGGAGAGGAAGAGGTGATAAAGGGGGGGGGGGAGAAGGGGAAGACAGGTAGCAGGGGGGGGGAAGGGGGGGCAGGAGAGTGAGGGGGCTTCGTGAGACAGAGTATCACTCCTGTAAGATTAATTAGAGTCCACGCCAGCTCACCTCAAGGCCGCGTGACAGGCGAGCGAAGAGGCGGACCAGATCTGCTTTGTTTTGGGGGAAGTTTTGGGGAAAGTTTTCGGAGTTGACAAGGGAGGCGGGGAATGTTTTTTTTTTTTTTCTTTTTTGTTTTCTTTTCTTTCGTGGACGTAGTAGGGGGAGGGGGAGTTCAAAAGAAGTGGAAGGCGAGTGATATAAGTGTTTAATTTCAACGCGTTTACGGTCACTGAATGTATTTTAGTTTTCTCTTCTTCGTCGTCTAATTTCTTCCTTTGTTTCGTCTTCGCCTTTTTTCCTTATTCGTCTTCATCCTCGTCAATTCACACTTATTCCTTCATCTCCTTGTTTTCTCTCTCCTTCTCCACCTCTTCCCTCGTCCCCTCCTCTTCCTAACCCCCCCCCCCTCGACACGCCCCCCCCCCCCTTTCCCAACTACTGAAAGGAGTTCAAAAGCAAATCCTCTTTCCCTTCATTACCGATTCTCTTTATCCGTCCTTCTTTTTTTTCTTTTTTTTTGTCCACTCTCTTCAGCTGTCGACTTTCTCGCCCACACACGCCTCGTCCCCAGCACCCCACCCCCACCCCCCCACCCACCACTCCCTCTCCAGCAACCCCCCCCCTACTCCCTCCCCAGCACCCCTACCCCCCCCTACCCCCCACTTCAGCTCCCAATCGATTCAGCAATACAAAGATCTATCGGATTCGCCCTCTTGTATACAACATCACATGCGCTGCCTCAGACTGTAAACAAAATTCCCGAGTATCTGTCAACATCAACATCACCGTATTTTTCATGACAAGCGATGGATATGACATGACAAGTGGAGGCTTGCTTTGCCGAAAGGCTTCCTGGGTTTTAAGATCATCACTTGGTTACCGTAAACAATAACATAAACTTTGTATTTATATGTCCCGCTGGTCATAAATTTCAGCCCGAGGGGAGTTATGTCTTTCAGCGGAGTCGTGTCATGGGGTGAATTTAGCTGTTTTACGCTGTGGTGTGATTCTGTTTTGCTGTTATTGTTGTGGTTATTTTAACTTGTCTGATGAATCTGCAGGTTTCAATATTTGGCGGCGATTTCGTTGTTGTTGTTTTTTTTAACTGGTTTACTGGTTATTGATTTCTTTGCTCGTCTGATAAATCTGCAGATGATTTAGTGTAGCGGAGACAATTTTTTTGTTGTTGCTGTCGTTTCTGTTTGTTGATTCTGAGCTCTTTCTTTATCTGATGAAAATGCAGCAGTTTCGTTGTTTGCCAGGTGACTTTTTCTCTTGTTCTTGTTGATTTTTTGTTTTTGTTTTTGTCTTTTTTTTTTCTTTTTTTTCTGAATCAGTTAGACTAGATATCATACTGTTGTTCCTGCAGTTTTGCCGTCGTAATCTTTAAACATGTGACGTACTCAGGCCTTAGTGACCGCCTTAGACCCGCCATTCAAGGACTCAGAGTTCGTCCTCGGAGTCAATTTTCGCGGAATAATCTTCTGACTCACGATCCCCATTCTGTTTTGTTTCTTTTTGCCGACGGAAGGAAATGCAGAGAGAAAGAGAGAGTGAAAGAAAGAGAAACATGAATTCATGGATAAAGACAGATAGATAGATAGATAGATGGATAG